GCACCTGTTACTAGAAGCGATGCACTTGTTCCTAATAGCTTCTTGTTACTAAGGCCCCACGGGCGGCACACATCACCCCACACCTCGAGCTGCAGACCGCAGAGACGGTTGGTGAATTTCCGGTTCTCGGCGCGAAGCCTCACGAGGCCAACTCGGCTGCATTCGCTGATCCCAACTCGCCAACAAAGAGCTCTTCAATAAACAATCCTAATAGCGATGGCCTCCAACCTAGCTAAACATCGATTCGCTTTTCGAAATCTTCAACTGTTCTTCGCAGAACTGCTTCGCAGTTGAGAAGGCGCTACACAGTTGATGTGGTCAGATTTCGCTGTTCAGAGAAACTTGGTCGTTGCGATTCATGACTTCAGCACGGCGCTGAGCATCCAGAGCCAAGGCTGGCCAGTTCGACAATGCGAAGGCCACCATCAAGCAAACACAGGCCTTGGTACAGTGTGTACAGAGTCGGTCTGCCACTGTGTTGCTTCTAGGTTGGAGGCCATCAATATTAGGTTGGAGGCAGGCCATTGCTTCTTGTTTGGAGGCCATCGCCAGTAGGTTGGAGGCCATGGCTTCTAGGTTGGAGGCCATTGCTTCTAAGTGGGAGGCCATTACAACTAGGTTGGAGGCGTGTGTAAGTGTACGCGTGTTAATCCTGAAAGATCTGCCGGAGCGGCTGCAGAGTAGCCAATGATGAGGCCTTCGCATATCCCGAGCAGCCCATGGATTCTTCCCAGGAAGTAGCTGCTCGGAAAGCCAAGCAGCCAACAACAGACTGGCAATGTGATGCTGACAATCTTGGTTCGGCCCTGCTTTGTAAGCACCTCAAAGCGCAAAGCGGGAAAGAAACAAAAAACAATCTTCTTTGAGTTGCAAGAGCGATCGCCTCCACCCTACTAGCTCCAACCTGAGAGCGATGGCCTTGAACTCGGGGAAACGACGAGGACCTGCCGCTGAGCGACTGTGACGACTGGCAGGACGCCTCCAATTAAGGCAATGGTAACGGTGCCAGCCCATCGTAGACGAATCATTTGCTGTTGAACTGTTGGATCCTCCAACGATGTCGGCCAATCGAACAACGATGCCAGGAGCCCCTAGTAGCTTCTTGCTCCTAGTAGTATGGCCAGGAGCCCCTAGTAGCGTCCTTGCTTCCAGAATCAAACCAATCTCTTTGCACCAGACAAAACAACCACGTCTTATATAATCACTACTAGGTTGGAGGCCATCGCTAGTAGATTGGAGGCCATGCTATTAGGTTAAGTGTCCCTCAAAGTCTAGAAACCAAATGAATAGTGCGAGCGCTTCTTCAAGGAAGCTGGAGCTTCCTTGAAGAAGTGTGAGCCATCCTGCGTCCATATGTGGTAGCTTACTTGTAGCTACTGGCTATAGCTTCTTCTAGCTGCCTACCTACCTGGCTACTACCTACCTCACTACCTACCTCCTACCTACGGCCTACCCCTCCCCCACAAACAAAAATGAATATTGTTGAAAAAACAATATGAAAATATGTAATACAATAAAGCTTTGCATGTTTACTAATAGCTTTTTGTTACTACTAGTAAGGCACTTGTTACTACTAGCGATGCACTTGTTACTACTAGCTAAAAAATACGATAAAACGAATAAACAAATGTCACTACTTTTGTCCGTCCTTCGACATGAGCGGCACTACGAGAGGTACCAATGCAAAAACGATGGTTGCAATAAGGATACTGCCCACGATGGACACCTCAATCGACAAACAAATTCAATTGACTTCTTGAACTCATTTTGCTCTGATAGGTTTTTAAGCTAGTAGAAACAAGTGCCACGCTACTAGTAACAAGTGCCTTACTAGTAGTAAGAAGAAGCTACGAACGGGTCTCTTCCTCTTTCGGACGAACCAATACCAGGGTCGTCCCTTTTGCCATTAAACCCTCCTAGTAGTGTTTCAAGGTTTCGAATTGTCTGTATCAATTCACTGTGTGATTCGCGCACGAGCACAGATTGCACTGATAGTCTAATAACTGCCAAACTGCCAAAGTCTCAAAAAGATCTCGCAAAGACTCCAAAGCTAGTAGTAACAAGTGCATCGCTAGTAGTAACAAGTGCCTTACTAGTAGTAACAAAAAGCTATTAGTGAACATGCAAAGCTTTACGAGGTACAATACCAGGGTCGTCCCTGTTGCAAGTTGACAGCAGCTGAGCAACAGTGACCCCCAAGCGCGCGGTGAAGGCCGCCTTTGCTGCGTGGCCCTCACCCAAGCAGTTGGCCATACGAATCCCGATGCTATCCCCCATGGCCATGGCAAATAGAAAGGCCAAGACCAAGATGTTCATCACCTCGAATGGAACCATAGAAGCATTCAGAAGCATCAATAAGAATATCAGTATCAATACGCCATCCATATTCGGTTGGAGGCCATCGCTAGTAGGTTGGAGGCCATTGGCTCTGGCGCAGCGGAAGTGAAGACTATGCCAAATCAAAGGCAGTGCAGAGGATTGAAGTGAGCCCTCCAATCCAAATAACGGCAGCTCATGAAAAAAGCAGTGCAAGGCAGTCTTGATTTTGCTCACAATTTGGCAGTATCTCACATACACAGCTTAACCAGAATATGAGGCTTTTGACCTTTGCCTATTTACCTTTGCTTTCGCTTGCTTTTGCTTGAGTGAATCAAAGTGCCTTCACTGCAATGTCAACAAGCAAAAACCAGGGGGCTCTCCCAATCCTCAAAACACTGCCAATCCTCTTGATGCCATCCCTATTCCTACATCTTCCTTTGTATGTTTTTTTTGGTTGTTTCGAACACAACATAGTTGTTGGGGCAGGCGGCACAAATTTCTGTAGTGCAGCACTTTTTGGATTTTGGATAGAATGGGGGAAATTATAAACGTTGACACATCACCCAAAAGAAACACAAGAAACGAAACTGCGCAAAACGGCACCAAAACGGCCCAATTTGTTTGCGCGTGTTTTTGTTGCACTACTGAAAGTCCACAGTGGCAGGCAAACCCATGAAGCGGCAGATTTTCCAGAAAACGACTAAAACTACATCAAGCGACAGAAATTAGTTGAGTTTCACAAAACGACAACTATTTTACATACCCGGGTGTCTTAGGTTGGGTTGGAGGCCATCGCTACTAGGAACAAGAAGCTACTAGTAACAAGGAGCAAAGGGCATCGCTACTAGGAGCAAGGACGCTATTAGGGGCTCCTGGCCGTACTACTCGGAGCAAGGACGCTACTAGTAATAAGATGCGTGTCCGATTTGAACAAATCTCCGAGATGCCAGGGCAAAGGCCGCCGTTTCGGCCGGACCGAGTTCGCCGGCCATCAAGGTGCAAACCTGGAAAATGGCGGTTTCACTTGAACCCGCAAGGAGCCGGGTGGACTAAAAACCGTTCCCTTCAACCAAACAGCAATGGCCGCGAGGGGTTCCAACCTGGGAGCCTAGCAGACTTGAACCTTTTGCAACATTCATCGATTTCGCAAGGACGCTACGAACGGGGCTCCTGGCCTTACTACTAGGAGCAAGGACGCTTACTAGGAGCAAAGGGGATCGCTACGAACGGAGCGATCATTCATCGATTTCTTGCAACGCGGTGCCAGGCGTCAACATTTCGCCAGGCGTCCCGGGCCGCAGTGTGCCATCGTCTTTGCCCGTTTTCATGTGATGCTTTTCATCGTCGGAATGTTCGAATACACTTCCTTGCTCCGGTCCGGCCTGTTACCATGTCCACATCTATTTCACGCATGCAGCATGAACACTGGTGCTTTCGGAACTTGGTAGGTTGGAGCGATTGAGCGCTTGCTGTGCACTTGCTCTTGATTTCCACTAGAGCACCGAATACTGCGACCCGTCTCCCCACCTGGAACTGCAACTCCTCAGCAAAGCCTCCAATGGCGGCCGGGATGGTCATTGCTAATAAACGACGCCACCTCTCACAAACGAAGATCTCCTCGGATTTGCAGAAATCTGGCTCTTCAGTGACTGTCACGCAAGGCTCTTCCACTCGAAGTGGAAATCGTACAGTTTAACTTAGGCTTATTGTTCCTAGTAGTAAGGCACTTGTTCCTAGTAGCGAACCTTGTTACTACTAGTAAGGCACTTGTTACTAGTAGCGAGGCACTTGTTCCTAGGAACAAGGTTCGCTAGTCTTGGAACAAACAAAATCCCACAGATGTTTGTGCCCAGTCAGTCCTTGTAGGACCAACCCGGCCAAGTTCGCTTGTGATACCCTCGTCTCCAACACACGAGTATGTAGATGACAGTTCCTTGGAGGACGATGTGCGATGCAGAACAGCACTAGGAATCGTCCATTTTGCAACGCAGGTCTTTCTAAAGATGCATTTGGGTGTGAAGGAAGGAATCTTCCATCGCTTACATTTAGCTTCGAACTGCATTTTGGTCTCTTGACTTGGGTGAAAAGGTAAGAAATCCTCCTCACTGCTCGATTTTGGCCTCGGCTCGAAGGAACTTGCCAACAGAAAATGCCAGTGCTGCACCAATGATTCCACCTCTGAATGAGAAGATCGCAGCGTAGCTCAGCAGAAAGTTCACCACAACAAAGCCGCCATCCACGATGGCTGCCGGCAAGGTAATCTGCTGAGAAGCATAATACTCCTTGATGGATGCATACCATATATCGAAAAGGAAGCCCACTTGAGACCAAACAGTGTAAGTTCCCGCAGTGACAGCAACATCGTGATGAAGTCCAAAGGCTTGGAGAACTGGGCTGGTCAAAAAGCGCAGGAGCATAAAAGGAGTTCCAGCCGCAGTCACAAAGACCAAATAGATTTGCAGCCAGGTGCCTCAAAAGCTCTTAGGTTGGAGGCCATCGCTACTAGGAGCAAGGACGCTACTAAGGGCTCCTGGCCTTACTACTAGGAACAAGAAGCTACGCATCGCTACGAACGGAGCAAGAGGACGCTACGAACGGAACCAAGGGGCCTCGCGACTCGAATGGAGCGAGGACTCGGCCGCTACGCTAGTTCCAATGCGTTTCGTCCAACCATTGGCGTCCATTGGCTACGAAAGAATGCTCCGTTCGTAGCGATGCCCGGGTTCCTCGCGTCCGATCGCTAGGTCCATGGTGCCCACCAAGGCGTAGTTTCCAGCGCCATAGGCTTGGCTGCAGAACATCGACAGCTGCCCAATCCTCGAGTCGTAACAAGTGCCACGCTAGTAGTAACAGGTGCCACGCTAGTAGTAACTAAGAAGCTACTAGTAACAAGAAGCGACGAACTGCCCAATCCTCGAGTCGTTCATCTCCGAGAGACACACGACGCTCCGAGTCGCCCCGCGAGTCGCGAGGCGCGATTTTTTGTGACAAACGTGGCGGATGCCCGTATTGTTCGTCGCCGATGCCGTTACTGAAATTGAGATGTTTGGTGTCATGGACTTCTCAAAGAGAATTTCACCAAAATGTCTACAAATTGACCAAAGGTCCCTGAGAAGAAGAGCACATCGGTGATGGAGGTCCAGATTCCACTCACCGAAACAGCTGCCAGCGCCAAAGTATCCAAACGACCTAACAGTACGCTGCACACCAACCCATTCAACGTGCCAGAAGCGGACGACAATGCCAGTGGCACTCCCAGCTTCGCCTAGTAGTCCCGCAGGGCTGGGCAATCAGATTCCACAATCCATAAGCTACATGTTATTACTATAGAAGGTTGGAGGCCATTGCTAGTAGCTTCGAGGCCATCGCTCTTAGGTTGGAGGCCATTGCTAGTAGGTTCCTTTTGCTAGTAGGTTGGAGGCCATCGCTCTTATTGTGAGGTTCCTTGATTTGTGAGGTGTTCTGCCTACAGAAAGCTCAAATGCAACATTAAGCTAAAACATCACTGCGACATAGTGACAATGGCACGAAGCTCTTCAATCGCACTTCTCGCCATAGATTTTCGATCCACGTCATGTAGCACTTCTCGCTCGAGACCACTCGCCATGGCTCAAGAGCAAACTGAATGTAATCTACAACTGAACAGGAACAAGGAGAGTCTTAAAAAAGAAACTCCAACTTGGAAAACAAAAAAAGGAAGCTGCGGAGCACTGTGGAAAACAACATTGTTTGATGTTCTTTTTGCTTGAAACAGCTGAGGTCGTCAAATACTGGCACCCCATGCACTACCGAGTCAAGTCGGAATGTTCTCCGGCTGGCAGAAAGCCAGCGAGGAATGCCAAGAACAAAGGTGTTCAACTCCGTTGAAGCTGGAAATACCAAAAGCTACGAACGGGGCTCCTGGCATCGCTACTAGGAGCAAGGACGCTACTAGGGGCTCCTGGCCTTACTACTAGGAGCAAGGACGCTACTAGGGGCTCCTGGCATCGCTACTAGGAGCAAGGACGCTACTAGGGGCTCCTGGCCTTACTACTAGGAACAAGAAGCTCCTAGGAGCAAAGGGCATCGCTACTAGTAACAAGAAGCTACTAGGAACAGGTGCCACACTAGTAGTAACAAGTGCCTTACTAGTAGTAACAAGGTTCGCTACTAGGAACAAGTGCATCGCTTCTAGGAGCAAAGGGCATCGCTACTAGTAGCACCAAGCACTCCGTTGAAGCTGGAAACAAGGCTTCCACCTGGTGGGCGTGAGCTCATCAACACACAAAGCCCGCACCAAGCAGGGTGTCGGCCATTCCTCACGAAGCAGAGCTTTTGAAGGCTGGAAGAACCGTAGTATTACCACAAGAAAACTCACATCTTGCTACTAGTAGCTTCTTGTTCCTAGTAGCGATGCCAGGAGCCCCTAGTAGCGTCCTTATTCCTAGTAGTAAGGCCAGTAGCTTCTTGCTGCTCGTGGCCGTTACTTATGACTAACAAGAGCCCTGATTTGTCGCGTCGTAAGCTGCTCTAGCTGCGCTCTCTCCCTTTCTCTCCTGCAACGCAAAGCGCTGCAGCGCATAAAGGCGCCGGTTGTCCAATGTGACAAGCACGCCCTGGCTGCGGTGCTCTGCAGTGACCGAGAATTGTTTAAATCCGCTCAAAGCTGCAGCGTTTCAACATTGGAGCCATCCTACCTACCCTCGGGACTGCTACACAAAGAAGCTTTTTTGTGGTTTTAGCCCGCTCCTACTCAATTAAGTAGGTGCCTAATTACTTAATTAAGGGAGAAGTAAGCTACTAGGATCTCCCTTTCAGTTTCATCATCAAAGCGATGGGGTGGGGATAGAAGCAAGGTCCTACAACTGTCCAAGCGGCAGAAGGTCAGGGGGTGGTATGATGACAAGAGTGCCTTGAAAAGGCAAAACATGATTCCACTTCAGAACAAAAGTAACAACTAAGCAAAAGGCGCTCAAGCCAGGGGGGTCTTTTCAGCCTAGCTTTTGCCGCCTTTCGCGGCTCTTCAGGGCTAAATGCTGTTGAAGTGGTCCAACCTAATAAGGCCATGTCCGACCAACTCGCTCTGGTGGGCAGGTCGCATGTACGTGTTGCCCTGGGACCCTTAGACCCTGTCGGCACATTGCGTCCATTGTACAAAACTGATAGCGATGGCCTCCACCCTACTAGCGATGGCTATATGGTACCCAGAACTGACTACCACAAACATTGGACGTTGGTGTTGGCTGCCCCAATTTGACCTTGGTTGTTGACCCTGGTGTAGGCCTGATTGCTCATGATTGCTCATGTAGCTAGAGGTCGTCCAGGATTTTTCCTGTTGCTACCTGAAAATAACTTGACAAGCGACAACTCTTCAATCGAAAAGGCACAAATGAGAGAGAGAGAGAGACATAGAAGAAAAGGCGCCCCAAGCAGGCCAAAAGCTGAAGTGAACCTCCAACATAGAAAACATGAAAAGACTGGGCCTATATATTGGGTAGATCCCATTCCCTGTAACAGTGGATCTAAAAAAATTGTGATAATCTTTTGACTGTTGCAGGTAATGGGAAACACCAAACCTATTAGTAGCAAGAAGCTACTAGTAGCGATGCCCTTTGTTACTAGTAGCTTCTTGTTGCTAGTAAGGCCAGGAGCCCCGTTCGTAGCGTCGCTGACCTGCTCCTTGAGGTGCAAAAGCCGAATTGGTGGAAAAGGCGGATCAATGCGCCTGCAGCTGCAGGTGGATCAATGCGCCGAAGGGCACGCAATGCGAGTGAAACAAACGAATGTGTTAAACACAGTTTGAAAAAAATGCGGAGAAGGCAAATGAAAACGGACAGCTACAACGACAAACAAGCAAGGTCGCAACTATGAAAAGGCACACATGAGTGAGTCTTCCTCTACAACCATAAAACGCCATTGAGAATTCCTGCTCTTTCAATTTGAGCTGCAGTTACTGGCCCCAAAACAAGAGCTTCTGAAACCTCCATGCTTTGGGTGCTTCAGAAAAGAGTCTCAGAGTATCAAAACCACAGCATGGCATACAAATGCAAGCAGGTTGCAACATGGACTGGTAGACTGGTGTGACAATGAGGGTGAAGAACAATCTACTAGTAGCTACTAGTAGCAAGGGCATCGCTAGTAGTGGCTTCTTGTTCCTAGTAGCGATGCCCTTGTTCCTAGTAGCGATGCACTTCATTCCTACAGGTCCTGGCCCCGGAGGCCCAGGCTTTGTCCGAAGGTTCTTCTCCTTGACATTCGCAAGCTTTATCTGCAGCATCACCTGACTAGAACCGCTTTGCACAAACGGAAGAACAAAAGAAAAAAGAAAACAGACAGAAACAAAGAACAGAAAAGAAGAAAAGGGACAAGCTCGGAAAAGTACCGTTTCTTCCCGCCTCTGAGATGGGCCCACGCTCGTGGAAGAAGGGATGAATCTTTCCTTGTGAAAATCGCACAGCTAGCGGAGAGATCCACCGTTCCTGCACAGGTCCAACTCAAGTGTTGTCCACCTTCCTCCACTTCTGCTTGAAAACTGCCCAGAGTTCTCTGTCCTCCCAAACAATGCCCTCATCCAGCACACGGCGGAGAGGCTCCTGCTACTGCAAAAATTAAGGCCAGCAAGGCCGAGACTGATGTGAAATCAAAGAATATTACTATCAGGTTGGAGGCCATTGCTATTAGGAACGCTACTAGGAGCAAGAAGCTACTAGTAGCTCCTGGCCTTACTACTAGTAGCTAGAAGCTACTAGGTTGGAAGCCATTGCTATTAGGTTGATGTGAAACTACTGTCACACAACACGAGGAACGACCGTCAGCCATCGGTGCCTCAGGAAAAAGGTCGGCATCCTGACGAAAATGACATGTGGACACCACGAAATCAGAAAGCGTTCTTGCAAATGAAAAACGGTAAAGAATAAGAGGGGAACAAAAGTGTTCGTTTCATGTGTGTTTTTTCGTTAAGCTGGTCTTTAAGGAAGCTTCTCAGCTTTTTGGGCCGTTCAAGGCTTAAAAATGGTCGATCTGGTCTTGAAATGGGTCAGGCTAAGCCTCAAAGAAGCGGTCGGATGAACAAAAGCTTCTAAAAACAACAGTTCTGAATAAAGTTGTCAGATGTCTGATGTCTGTTTGAAAAAACAAGATTGTGTTTGGGCCCCTTTTAACAAGGCTCACCCTCTGTTCTTACTCCAAACTGGTGTCGATCTTCCAAAACGGAAAAATCCCGGTCAAACGAACGCTCAAACAGAAAGAACGAAAGAACACAATCTAAAAAGAATGAAAGAATTAAGAACATAATAGAATTAAAACAGGTCTAAAACAGAATAGAAATAGAAAGGAAGGGAAAGGAAAGGAAAGAAATGGAGAAAGATTAGAAAGAGAAGGTAGGTAGGAGCCGATTTTGCAGCGATGGTTGATGAAAAAGCCTTCTGCGGGAAATCTTCGTGAAAGAACTAGGAGCAAGGACGCTCTTACGGGCTCCTCGCCTCGCTACTAGGAGCAAGGACTCTACTAGGAAAAAATGGCATCGCTACTAGTAGCTAACACTCAGAAAAATCGACGGCAGTGTGCAGGCCGGCCTTGAAAGGAGGACCCCAATTCAAGCTGCCGAAAGCTGCCTCATCTCACTGTTGCAGGAAGATATTGTTGTGTTGCTTTTAGACCGCTTCTTTGCGTTGTTCCTTCCTTCCTTGTTTTGCTTGCTTGTTTGCTTTCTTTCTGTTTTTTTTCTAGTTTAAACTTCAGATCTTACTTCTCTCTTCTTCCCTTCTTTCTTCCAAAGCGCAAGAATGCCCAAACGGTTTCTGCGAAATACATCTTCAGCCTGGACAGCTGTCACAGCTTTGTCACCCTTCTCCTTCCCAGGAGGACTTTCCGATTTCCAATCACCTTGGTAAGGCAAGATTCAAACCGCTGGCGATGTCCTCCACCCTAAACAAAAGAAATGCCACACAGAAAGCTTGCCATGCAGTACGGGGCTCAGGCAGTGCTTGCCGTCCCAATTCTCTGTCTCCCAGCCGCTCCAAGACCACTCCCACCACTGAGCGACGCGTGGGCGGTTGGCTCACTGACTCGAGTGGTCTTAGTCGGTATGGTGGTGAGAGGTGGGAGGTGGCATGGGCAAGTAGGTGGGAGGCGATTGCTAGTCGGTATAGTGATAGTGAGATCAAATAGTTGTCCACTTAGGCTCTTAGTATCTCGATGCAAAGCCGGTTCCTAGACGAATCTCTTTCGATTTCTGAGCGTGTCTCCTTGTCGGCACTCCAACCATGTTCTGCAGACCTTAGAACAAAGAATTAACGAAAAGCACACAATGTTAAACAATGCATTCAATGCATCATAAAGAATTAAAACACAAGTATTAGATAGTCTGGATTTCAAATCGTTTTGGGTGAACTTTACCAGAGTTTTGCACCAGCTCCATCCGTTCGCTTCAGCCTTGGTCTCTGGCCATAACGATTTGAAAAGCGGAACATGTCTATCAGTCATGGCATTATGTTATCGAATTTGTTTCGTTGCGTTGTTTGAGAATTTGAGCTCCACTCTTTAGACTTTAGACCTTCCTTTTGATAGCGATGGCCTCCACCCTAGTAGCCATGGCCTCCAACCTACTTGCCGATGGCCTCCAACTTA